ACTATTTTTGTTGACCTTTGTCCATGGAAGGTCCCGGCAAAATTTCATTGAAATTGGTTCAGGGGTTTTGGAGAAGAAGATTTTTGAAATTTTAGTCAATTTGACCGTTTTTGGACCCGCCCCTCAGGCCCCTGGGGGCTTAGGACTAAACCGGCGACTATTTTTGTTGACCTTTGTCCATGGAAGGTCCCTGCAAAATTTCATTGAAATTGGTTCAGGGGTTTTGGAGAAGTCGAAAATGTAAATTGTTTACTGACGCACGACTGACGCACGACGGACGACGACGGACAAAAGGCGATCGCAATAGGTCACTTGAGACTTTGTCTCAGGTGACCTAAAAAATTGACGGACGGACGACGGACACCGCAGTACGGCATAAGATCACATATCCCTTCTGTATTAATCTTGCACTTGTTATCTTAAAATAAAATACATTTACAGGCAAAATACCAGTGTTTGATTCATAATTTCATTTCATCATATTCTTTTGAGTAAACAATAGGATTGAACAGCAGGCTGGGCCTATATAAGTTCTCTCCTTAGGTTGACATGACAAAGACAAAGATGAATGAAATGGGTTGTAGGAAAATATTGATTCAAATTATATATAATAAGTAGCATAGATATATATATAGCAGATGGTATAGGGGAGATAATTCCATGTATGTTTCAATTACATATAAATATTTAATTGATATTTGTAGCTATACAATGCTCTTATTAAAAAGTCAATCATTATTAATTAGTAATAGGAATGCAATGCCCTAATGATATATTAAACAGAGAAATTGCTACAATTGTATTTATTTGCAAGTAATTACTGCCCCCTGTTCATACCCTGCTGCTGTTGCATTAAGTAGTTAAAAGAATAGAACAATTTAGTAATATTGACATATGCCCTTCCCATTTTCAATTAACTCTATGGAGAGCCAGACTGCTGTTACATGACAGTAACTACAGGCTGACTTGATGGCGTAACGATACGGTTGCTATTGCCAATTTAACAAACAAAATGGCCGCATTGATACCCCACTTCGTTAAACAGGCAATCGAACATTTCATTTATAAAAAAAATATAGTTATATTTAAACTACAATACAGAGAAAAAAATATTTATAAAATAAGTTACATATTTTCTTTTTTATTAAAATAAACAAACAAATAAAATAAATAAAATAAAATAATTAATATTGAAAAAAAAGCATCACACATCTGTCATCTGCTGTCGTCTGCTAGAAACGTCATCGCTTCCAGCGACTCTGAGGGCGATTTATTCGAAACAATTGTAGATCTAGGCCTATCGGAAACGAATTTTAACATTGAACTACCCGCAGGAACGCTAAATAACAGCATTTCATCCAGTGACGAAGAATTGTTACTGAATATGGACATGGAGACCATCCAGACTATATCGGCGAGTTCAGTGCCAAACGAAATTCCAGACCTTACGGGGGCCGTTTTTGAAGAGCTGCCCCTACCAAACTCCCCTCTCCCCTTCAAGCCACTGGAGAAAGAAATCCAAAAACCTGCGATCACTACTGAGACTACTGGACCACCAGCAAAGCGATTTAAAGTCTGCACGGAGAATGAGAATCTCGGCAAGCGCCATTAACAAAAAGGAACACTAGCTGGGCCTTGCGAATATTTCAAGGTAGGCCTGCATGAGTTGAAGTTTAATATAAAAGTTGTCCTTTGATGATTTATTCACACAACGTAAACTTGGTAAAACAACTTTTAAAAGAACACAAAGCTGTTAGACCTATTGAAACAAAGTGTTGTTTTTATAATCACAAACAATCACATCGTTTCCATGTTACATAATGGAAAGATTTTTTTGACAACAAGGAATGGCAGTGTAGTCTACGATTTTTTTTTATATACTATAATAGGCCTATCCCACTTTTTAATTTTAGATTGGAACACAGAAATATATGGGCAGGCCATGAGTATGGAGAAGGTTTCCCACTTAGAATTGGCAGCAGCCCTGAGCAAATTTTACGTTGAGGCGAGGCCAAAGACGGCGGAAGAATTGTACCATAGGAGCACCCTAATAAATATTAGGGCAGGAATAAACAGACATCTAGTGGATCTTCAAAGAAATGTTGACATTGTTAAAGATAGAGAATTCAAAAAAGCTAATGGTGTTTTAGACGGGCTATTGAAAGAAAGGACACACACGGGACAATCAAAACCTGTTCAACAAAAACAAATTATAGAACGAGATGATTTGGAAAAAATAAGCACTTACCTGTCAAGCGCCCCATCCTGTCCTATTATCCTCCGTCACTATGTCTGGTACAATTTATCGATGCATTTCGTGACGCGAGGTATGGATTTCCATCACCAGTTACGCACTAATTCGTTCCGGTTTGTAAATGACGAAAGTGGTGAATATGTCACACTTAATTTTGAGACCCAAAAGAAAAATTGGCAAGGGGGGTCAAATTCCAATTCAGAGAGTCACGCTTCAGAAAAAAGAATGTATGCAATTCCAACTGGAACGTCATCAGTTTGTCCGGTAAAAATGCTGAAACTTATGTTGGAGAAAACGGACAAAAATGCCACACACATTTTTAATCAGTATCGGAAAAATGCAGTGTCAGCATCATCGTCCAACGAGATTTGGTTTACAGACAAAGCATTGTCAAAGCGAACCTTTTCCAATTTTCTTACCGAGATCTGTCGTGCTTCGTCTGTCGTCAAACGTTACACAACACATTGTGTCAGGGCTACGGCGACACAATATGATTCCAGGCTAGGCACACAATGTTCATGGCCTCCCACAAATCGGAAAGTTCATTACGATCCTATAATCGCAATCTTTCGACAGCACAAAAAAATCGCTCAGCACATCGTTGTCAGCGATTACAATTCCCGTTTCGAGATCCCCACAACCCGTTTCGTCACAAACAGTGGTACGTGTTCCGTCTTCACCCATTTTTATGAATGAAAATCCTCTGCCCTTGGATACACTAGCACAGAACACGAATATTAATGTCCAAGCGAAAACAGCTACACCTAGTTTCTTTGCAAGTTCGTCTTTCTCCAGGTGCATATTTAACTTCAAGGAGGGGGGTAACCCACACAGTTTACCCGAAATGAACTTGTAGATGACACGGGACCGCGTCACTGATTTGTGCGTTTGCACGTATCTGGAACTTTCTAATTATTTGTTTTTGCTGAATAATTAATTGTTTGTGAAAAGATCTTTTGCAATTTTTTTTAACAATTGTAGTAAATAAACAAATTAAAGAATTATATTTTAAGTCATATTTTTGTTGTTTCATTGCTGAATTTGCACGCACTATATTTTTCGACCTTGGACTTGCCTGTTCTTTCAAACATTGTTGTGCTGATGTCGTGATGTATAAGCGGGAAGTTTAAAAAGTAACAAAGAACAAGGGAAATTATGTAAAATGTAAATATAAGGATTGAACGTCTGTCAGATTGTAGTTACAGCCTATATGAAGCAATCTGGGTGACAGATACATAGAATGACGTCCGTATATATATCATTGGTAGGAGTGATAAAAAGTAAGGGATACAACATCAAAATATGAAAAAATGAAATGAGGCAATTCAGCTAGAAGATTTGTTTGAAAATGTAGTGTAAGTGTAAGATGTATTGCCAGTGTTCTATGTGTAAATCTTTCATCCCATCGAGTTTCAGACAAAAAGTCTATAACGGCCTCTACCGTTCCCATATCATCCACTCGAAAATAATTCAGATTCAACCACAAAACACTAAGCATTCAAACTTAGCACATTTATATTTTACTTTATTGCACCCATCAGTAAAAAAAACACCCACAGCTTAATCCTTTAGGTGTATAATATTAAAACATCAATGTATATATAACAATCAGTAGAATCACATAACGGTTTAAGGACAGTATTTTATCAGTTATGACTATATATAACAAAATGTATAGATTGTTTTGATTAATCAAACAAGTGTTCTTGTGTTGTATATATATTTAAGAACACTATCAAGTATAGACTTATTTTCAGTATTGCTTAACATAGTGCTTCCATCGAGAAGTATTTTAGTATTAAGATTAACCAGACACACTTCAAAAATCTCATTTATTAAAGTTTGTCTCTTATCAGCATACATTGGACATTGTGAAAGATAATGTGTAGCAGTTTCATAAGCATCACCACACAGACAAGATGGACTCTTACAAGTGATCTTGAACAGATCATAGTTCAGGTTACTCGCCTCATTTCTCAGTTGACATAAGATTATGTTACCCTTTCTGCTTTCACAATTTTTAAATAATCCGAGATATCATTATTGTAACATATTTTATTATAGACCTTGGCCTAAAATTTATTAACAGTAGGGGAATGTACTGTATCATTTTCAAGTCCATTGAACTTGTTGCACATTACTGGGAAGAAGCATTTAGCATAGGATTCTGTACGACATAGTGGTGGGTTAAACATTCTTACATTTCTTAGAGTATACCTATCATTTTCTGGGTTATGAATAAGAGGATCAATTATGTCATGGAGGTATGTGGGTGATAAATTGTTAGTTATTTTATACATCTGAATTAGCGTACGGTTCGTCCTTCGTTTAGACAGAGATTCCCAACCTAGTTCTTTATATAGAGTTTGGTGTGATGCACCTTTGCTTAGACCTGTGATAATCCTTGCAGCTTCTAGTTGTACAGATTCTAATATGTTTTTTAAATTGTCAGAGCAGTTGTCCCTGACAATATCTTCATATTCAAGCATTGGGCGGATAAATGTTGTATATATTTTGCACAGTGATTTCCAATCAATCTTATATTTCAGATACCTGTTTATTCTTTTTCTAGCCTTTTCATATATTAATTGAACATGGGTAGACCAAGTGCCATCTTCAGAAAAAGTTAATCCAAGATGTTTGTGATCATGGGCATTATCTACACAAGTATTAGTGAAATTAATTAGAGGATGGATAGGTTCTTTTTTTTCTAGAAACAAATAGTGATGAGGTTTTAGAGGGGTTAAATTTAATGTCCCATGTACTAGCCCAGTTGTTAATTCTATCTTGGTGTTGGTTAAGATAATCTGCTGCTAGTTGTGGGTTTTCGTCTACGATGACATATACTGATGTTTCGTCTGTAAGCAACAGCTTAATGTTACTCTGGACTATATCAGTGATGTCATTAATGTATAATAGAAAAAAAGGACCGATAACTGATCCCTGAGGAACACCGGCATTAACAACCCTACAAGTAGAACAAGAGGCCCAGAGGGCCTGTATCGCTCAGCTGAATATGTTTAAAATAGTTGGTATGAAGTAAAGATATAGCATTCCATGGTAGGCGCTGTCATGAAATTTCAGATAGATCCATGCAGTACTTGAGATATAGCGAGAACAAACTTCAAACAGAGCCCCACCCCTATGCCCCTAGGGAATCATACCCATCAATTATACAAAATTGAGTCCCATTGGCCCAAGGATGCTCCAGACTAAATAACGATAAAATCCCTTAATCCCGATGACCAAAGAAGGATTTTAAAGGTTTTACCTCCATTTCTCCTATTGGGCCCGCCCTTCTGCCCCCTGGGAGACCACACCCACTGCTTATACAAAATTGTGTCCCCTTGGCCCATTGATACTCCAGACTAAATTAGGATACAATCCCTTAATCTCTATGGTAGAAGAAGGACTTTAAAGGTTTTACTTCTATTTCCCCTAATGGGCCCCGCCCCTCAGTTCCCAATAAGGCCACACCCACTGTTTATACAAAATGGGTTTCCCTTTACCCAAGGATGTTTCACGCCAAATATTGAACAAATACTTTCATTCCTACAGAGGAAGAAGGATTTTAATGAATAATTTGCTATGTTTCCCCTACTGGGCCCCGCCCATCAGGCTCCTGGGGGGCCAGACCCACGGTTTATACAAAATTGGATCCCCTTCACCAAAGAATGCTTCAGACCAAATCCTTAAATTCCTACAGAAGAAGAAGGATTTTAAAGAATAATTTGTTATGTTTCCCCTATTGCGTCCCGCCCCTCAGGGCCAGACCCACGGTTTATACACAATTGGATCGCCTTCACCCAAGGATACTTCAGACCAAATATGGAACAAATGCTTTCATTCCTACAGAAGAAGGATTTTTTAAGAATTTGCTATATTTCCCCTATTGGGCCCCGCCCCTCAGCCCCCAAGGGGGCCAGACCTATCGTTTATACAAAATTGGTTTCCCTTTACCGAAGGATGATCCACACCAAATATGGAACAAATCCTTTCATTCCTACAGAAGAAGGATTTTAAAGAAGAAATTGCTATGTTTCCCCTATTGGGCCCCGCCCCTCGGGTCGCTGGGGGGGGCCAGACCCAGCATTCATACAAAATTGGGTCTTCTCCCCCAATGATGCTCCACACCAAATTTGTAAAATCCGCTCAGTGTCTCATGACTAGTAGTGTAAAGTTGACGGACGACGGACGCTGTAGTATGGCATAAGCTCACCATGACCTTCAGTTAGAACTCTGTGCTTTCTATCTTCAATATAATTCTCAAACCAGTTAAAAACATTGCCTGATATACCATATGCTTTTACTTTATGTAGTAACCCTTTGTGCCAAACTCTATCAAAAGCCTTGCTGAT